ATTCGTAAAAATTCGAGGAAACGATACCGATGATTCACACATAATCGAGAAAATCGCGGCAAACACGCACACGCGCGACCATTTATCACGATCTACGTCCACGTAACGACGAAATTAATATCGTAATTACTGGCGGGGGGGGGGGTTTCATTTCTAAACCCTAAGTAGATTGTATCGAGTGTAGCACCGGGCACGTGGCGTACGCAGTGTGTTACGCAGGCTTGAGGGAATGCTCGGGACGGACGTAACCAAAGAGCCGGCTGTTTCCTAGCTTTTACGTAACCGTAAAGCCGAGTGACTTTAGCTCTCCCACCCTGTGATCTTTTCACCGGGTGGTTTTGGCCACTTCGGTTCGTCCTTTATAAGCACATATGCCCGGCCGTTCAAAGCCAGAAACGTATCGACATCGGTAAAACATTGGTCTCGCGTGTGATCGACGTCCACCATCGAGCTTTAATTCGTTTCCACTCGATCCTCTTTCTTTTCCTTTTCTTCGAATTCGTGTCGTTGTCCGAGTCCGTGGCTCGGGTCGAGTCGAGCGAAAGGTTGTCATCGATTTAGAAGAGAAGAGAAATAACAAACAACCGACCAGGATGCACTCCCAGATCATCGTTGTGAGTAGATCCTTCGGCCATGCTTTGTGATTTGCGGCCTATTCACCCTTGTGAATCAACGATGATACAGTGGATTCGGGCGACGTGCTATCATTCTGAGAACATGAATTTTAGAATTGTATTGAAAACTCTTAGTGAATCGACTGATTTTGGCAGTAATTATTTTGTGATTTATCTTTTGGTGATTTTGTTTGCAGCTTCGTTTTGGAATGGGGGGGCAAAATTTTTGATCATGGAAGATCTCTGCTTTTTTGTATATTTTGTTTTTTTTTTTTTATCGATAATGATGGTTTAGTTACGATAATAATTGGTAAATTCCTTTCGATGATTGTTCAATCGAAATTAGAATTGCAGCCACTTTCACCCTGTCAAGGCGTGATTGCACGTAGAAAGAGTAGTTACTTCGAAAAAAAAAAAAAAAAAAAAGAAGAGAAGAAAAGTAACGCCGTGCATATAAATAACACGATGCACTTTTCGCCTTATCGACGAATCACAAATTCACATTCGTGTTGCAGCTAATCGTGCTCGGAATACTGGCCGTGGGCTTGTCTTCGCCAGTACCAGGCCATAGGTAAGTTATCAAACGCAGCTGAAAATCCTTTGATCTTCGCTATTCTCATCGAACTTTTTTCTCACCTAAATTTTCTCCAAACTCTTTTCTTCAAAAATATGACATGGAAATTTTTTTTTTTTATGTTACGTATTTTTATATTATTGCTACGACTATTTCAGGCATTAGATTAAAGAGAAAAATTATAGTAAATTTTCGATAAAATAGCACTGATGATAGGAGGACGAGCAGTCAACTAGTTCGAAAGAGAATCAATTGTGTGATTTCAGTTCGCACAAACACGTCCGCATCCACGTGCCTTATCACGTGCATACGGTCCATCATCATCATGTGAAGAAGGTGCCGGTGCATCACGTAGAGAAGGTGCACGTTCCTGTTCCAATTCCCATCCATCACGTGCAAAAGGTGCCAGTTCCAGTGCCAGTCCATCACGTCGAAAAAGTTCACGTACCTGTTCCGATTGTCGAGAAGGTCCCTGTACCTGTACCTGTACACGAAGAAAAGGGGTGGTGGTAATGAGAGCGCTTCGCTCTTCGGCTTGTTATTATTTAGGTAATTAGAAGAAAAATCTCTTCCTTACGTTAGTGAGATTCAAATGCTCGTGATTTTGATTAGAATGTGATTACCAATCGATGAATATTTAAATATTTTTTTATAAGGGGCAAAAAAAAAGAACAGCGTTGGGAACCATAAATATTAGAAAATTATAACGAATTATAGAAAATAGTTAAATGGTTAGATTTAAAAAAAAATTTGAATTTTGTCACTCTTCTATGCACCATTA